AACGCATACGGACACTCAGAGGAGGCGCAGTGCTGAAGTCAAATTCTGAGGTGCGGAGTGCGCGGAGCGGGCTGGCAGCGGAGGGCGCGGTTGGCGTTTTCAATCGGGAGGGAGTCGCAGACTCTGAGCTCCAGATCCGGGCGAGTCTTTAGGGACCCAGACTCAAACGGGAGAAGCGGGACTGTCTGGCTTCGGTCAGAGCGAGTGCAGCTTTCTCTCTGAGCTTTGCAGTGGGTGCTGGGACCCAGAGAGGCAGAGCTCCTGGGGACAGGACTGAGAGCCGCCATAACTGCTCTCTCTGGCCCACCCTGTTGATCCTGTGCGACCCGCCCCGCCCAAGCCCTGCACAGAGGCATTCTCAGGTAAAGGCTAGATTAGCACCTCCCTAGAGGACAGAAGTTCTCTCACTGCAGACACAGCTGATTCTCATAGCCACTTGGCCTGGAGGTCAAACCCTCCCTGGAATTAGCTACAACAATCAAGATTTAACTATAAGACTGCGCACAAAGACCACTAGGGGGTGCACCAAGGAAGCATAACAAAATGCGGAGACAAAGAAACAGGACAAAATTGTCAATGGAAGATATAGAGTTCAGAACCACACTTTTAAGGTCTCTCAAGAACTGTTTAGAAGCCACAGATAAACTTAATGAGATCTACAAGAAAACTAATAAGACCCTCGATCTTATATTGGGGAACCAACTAGAAATTAAGCATACATGGACTGAAATAACGAATATTATACAGACTCCCGACAGCAGACTAGAGGAGTGCAAGAATCAAGTCAATGATTTGAAATGCGAGGAAGCAAAAAACACCCAACCAGAAAAGCAAAATGAAAAAAGAATCCAAAAATACGAAGATAGTGTAAGGAGCCTCTGGGACAGCTTCAAGCGTACCAACATCAGAATTATAGGGGTGCCAGAAGATGAGAGAGAGCAAGATATTGAAAACCTATTTGAAGAAATAATGACAGAAAACTTCCCCCACCTGGTGAAAGAAATGGACTTACAGGTCCAAGAAGCGCGGAGAACCCCAAACAAAAGGAATCCAAAGAGGACCACACCAAGACACATCATAATTAAAATGCCAAGAGCAAAAGACAAAGAGAGAATCTTAAAAACAGCAAGAGAAAGAAACTCAGTTACCTACAAGGGAATACCCATACGACTGTCAGCTGATTTCTCAACAGAAACTTTGCAGGCCAGAAGGGAATGGCAAGAAATATTCAAAGTGATGAATACCAAGAACCTACAACCAAGATTACTTTATCCAGCAAAGCTATCATTCAGAATTGAAGGTCAGATAAAGAGCTTCACAGATAAGGAAAAGCTAAAGGAGTTCATCACCACCAAACCAGGATTATATGAAATGCTGAAAGGTATCCTTTAAGAAGAGGAAGAGGAAGAAAAAGGTAAAGATACAAATTATGAACAACAAATATGCATCTATCAACAAGTGAATCTAAGAATCAAGTGAATAAATAATCTGATGAACAGAATGAACTGTTGATTATAATAGAATCAGGGACATAGAAAGGGAATGGACTGACTATTCCTGGGGGGGAAAGGGGTGTGGGAGATGCGGGAAGAGACTGGACAAAAATCGTGCACCTATGGATGAGGACAGTGGGTGGGGAGTGAGGGCGGAGGGTGGGGCGGGAACTGGGAGGAGGGGAGTTATGGGGGGAAAAAAAAGAGGAACAAATGTAATAATCTGAACAATAAAGATTTAATTAAAAAAAATTTTTGTTTATTAAAAAAAAATTAAAAAAAAAAGTAAAAAAAAAAAAAAGAAAAACTATATGTCCATAATTGGAAAACCGAGATAAAATGGGCCAGTTCCTTGGGGGGTGAGGTGGGAACCAACTTACCAAAACTTACATAAAAATAAAATAAAATAAATAGAGACTCTGAATAGGCATCTATCTATTAAAGAAATTAAATGGGTTTCTTCAGATATATTCCCTAAAGTAGAATTGCTGGATCATAAGGCAGCTCCATTTTTAATTTTTTTGAGGAAACTCCATACTGTTTTCCACAGTGGTTGCACCAATCTATATTCCCACCAAAAATGCACAAGGGTTCCCTTTTCTCCACACCTTGCAAACATTTGTTTCTTTCTTTCTTTATTTATATAATCCTCACCTGAGGATATGTTTTTATTGATTTTAGAGAGAGGAAAGGAGAGGGAGAGAGACCGAGAGAGAGAAATATCTAAGTGAGAGTAAAACATTGATAGGCTGCCCCCATACACACTATGACTAGGGATTGAACCCACAACCTGGGTATATACCCTGACCTGGACTTAAACCCACAATCCTGTGTTGCACAGGAGGACACTCCAACCAGCTGAGCCACACCAGTTGATTAATTGCTGACAGCCCTTTTGACAGGAGTGAGGTGATACCTCATTCTGGCTTTAATTTTCATTTCTCTGGTAATTAGTACTCTGAGAATCTTTTCATATATAAATATATATATACACACTAGATGCCCGGTGCACGAAATTCGTGCATGGAGGGGATTTCTCTCAGCCCAGCCTGCACCTTCTCCAATCGGGGACCACTTGGGGGATGTCTGACTGCTGGTTTTGTGGGATCGGGCCTAAACCGGCAGTCGGACATCCTTCTCGCAATCTGGGGCCACTGGCTCCTAACCACTCACCTGCCTGCCTGCCTGATCACCCCTAACTGCCTCTTCCTGCCTGCTTGATTGCCCCCAACCCCTCTGCCTGCCTCTGCCTCCGGGCCTCTCTCTGGGCCTGAACTGCAGCCTCTGTGGCAGCTGCTGATCAGGCCCCACCTCTCTCTCTTTCTCTCTCTCTCTCTCTCTCTCTCTCTCTCTCTCTCTCTCTCTCTCTCTCTCTCTCCAGGCCTTGCCAGCAGCCGCAGTTGCTGCTGATTAGGCCCTGCCTCTCTCTCCAGGCCTCTCTCCGGGCCTGATCCACAGCCACAGAGGCAGCGGCAAGGTTGTTAGGCTTCTGCCCAGCCTGGGCCAGAGGCTAACAACTTCACCTCATCAGCCTCCCCCCACTCCCCCCACCCCACCCCCCTGCCCTGCCACGCCTAGTGACTGGTCATCTGTCTGGTCGTTTAGGATGTGATGTCCCCTGGTCTTTTATAATGTAGATGTTATCCCAGTAAATTTAATAAAAATTGTCTTCAAATTATGCTTACACTGGAAGTGGACCACTTACCAATTTTATTTTAATCATCACTATTGGTGCACCCTGTAGGTGTAAAATTTGGCTTCCACATTGTCAACATTTCTTGGGGGCCAAACCTCAGAGACTTCATAGATAGTTCTGAGGTCTTTGGCCTAGCTCTGAAGTTATTGGCTGCCCAAGTTATCCTTTGAGATGGTGAATTTTTCTACATTGTCTTGGTCTTTTTCTGGATCATTTTTATTCAGTTCCTCATTTGGCCTGTGATCATGGCCACATCTTGTTGGCTTTATAGCTTTCATAGGTTTTCTTGAAGGGGTAGGAATTTTTGGAAAGGCTCCTTTCCTTGAACTCCCTTAAAGACATCTTTTCACCCCCATGGATGTCTTTAGTACCTGAAAGGACAACAGAGTGAGCACAGAAGGACATTGGTTTGTGGGGAAATGGCTGGGATGAAAGGGAAAAAAGTCTTCATGAGAAAAAGCATGGGTTGAGTCTGGAATCTGCCAGGCAAGACCAGGGAGTCTTGGGGAGATGCCACTAAAGAAGAGGAGAAGTCTGGGTGTGGTCCTTTCATTCTTGACACCGGACCTGGGTTAACAGGGCTGTTTCCTCTTTTACCTTCTTTTGGTGAATGGGGTTTGTTGTTACATAACTGTGCTAGGAGTTTGTGGTTTCCTGGTCATCTTCACCATGTCAAAATTTCCCAGGGCCCTACCCCAGGCCTCCTGAACATATACTTTTCTCTAGGACAATGAGGGGCCACACCCCCTAGGCTTTAATTAATCAGGAAGCCTCCCCTCCAGCTAATGGTAGCTCTGGGAGAGAAACTTAGACATCGCAAAGCACCATCCTGACACTTCCATGGGGAGGGGTGAGGAGGCTGAGATGCTTTGGTAAGAGAAGGGGGGCATTTTTTTAGCACTCCTAAGCCTTCTCAAAAATTATTGGCCCCATATTCAATTATGATGGGTCACATGGTAGGGAGATGATGCTTCCTCCAAACATTTCCCTAGGCCACCGATTTCAGTGGTTCATTGTTCTTTCTCATCCTTCACCATTAGCTAGTTTTCATAAGATTTACCTAAAATCTTTTCAAGGTAATGTGACTGTCTCTGTGGAGATGTGAATTACCCTGCTTTCCTAGTACAGGTTGCTCTTATGCACCTTGAAAACTATTTACTTCTTGGCTACTACCAGAGAAATTTTTCATCTCACCCGCCTTGTCCATGTGGCTCTCCCCAGCTTTCTGTTTTCAAGGTTGAAATCATTGCCTTTAGGCTGTCTTTAATGAATAGAATTGCTCAACTGGTTATCTTAGCTTTGTTTAAAATCTTGGGGGTGATCATAGTAGATACAGTATCTAGATTTGGGGTTTAACAGTATAAGGTGAATGAGGCAGGAATTTAAATTCCCAAAGTTGGGCGTCCTGTTTGTATGTTGAAAACTGCACCTCCCCCCACCCCCCCTCCGCCCCAGCTCCTCAGGGAACTCGGGGAGTCAGAGCCTTGGTCTGAGGATTGCAGACTCAGGTTCATAGAGGACAGGAGGCCCAGGCCCTGTCAAAGTATGGGTCAGAGGCAGGGCTAGAGGACCCTACGGAATCCATCTCAGCCCCTGCCATCAGGTTTTGGAATTGCTGGGCTTGGTACCAGTGAGGCCCTGATCTGAGGAGCCGGCCTTGGGTCAACAGGAGGAGGATCCTGGGACCTGCTAGGGCTCAAGGTGAGGAACACGAGGGAGGAGGGAGGGATCCTGAACCCTAGAACAGAATCATCCCACCCAGGGCGGGATGATGACAACAGGTGATTTCTTTCTTTTTTTTTTTTTTTAAGGGATCCGTGGTTTAATCGCGGTCCATGGGCTCCAGAAGAGAACAGAGAGATGAGAAGTAGATGCAAAAGCCAGGTCAGTACCTTAGCATGTTATTGAGTGCACTCGGGGAGGGATTTGTCCCAGGGAAGTCTGTGCGTCCCTCAGGAGAGAAAGAAGCAGCAAGGCTGCCTACAGGGCAGTCTCGGGCTCCTCAGGGGTGCGAGCTCCTGGAGCAGGCTGGCTGCCTTCTGTCTGCTTCCTGGGGTGCAGCCTGGGTGCTCGGCGCTGGTGTGGGTGGCTTGGGCTCAGCATGGCACCAGGAGCCCGCGTCCCTCTGTCCCCTCTGGGGCTGGCGCCTCCTGGATGGTTCAGCAGCCACAGGGCTGTGCGGTCTGGTGCCTGGGCCTCCCCTTGAGGTGACTGTGGCTCCTATCAGAGGCGGGTGTCACAGGAGGGGCGGCTCAGCGCAGGGAAGTTGTCCATGGCCCAGGCCCAGGCCTGTTGGCGGTTCAGGCCCGGGGCAGGGTGGGCTCCGGGCACACACACCGCATCCAAGATGGGTCTTCCAAGGTGGATGGATGCGCTTCCCTGGCTTCAGCCTCCTGAGCAGCAGAGAGGTGAGGTGGGTGCTGGGGAGGAGGGAATGGGCAGCAGGCAATTTCTGCATCTGGGTCTCAGAGACTCTGGGGCTTTGGTACAGGGAGCGGAACCTCAGATACGTAGAGGACCGGCCCAAGTCCTGCCAGAGTCAAGGTGAGAACCCTGAGGAAACACTAATGGGACTCTGGATACCACAATACAGGGGACCCCACCAAGGCCCTCCCCCCCTGTAAGCCCTGGGTGTCCCCAGGGTGGGATGACCACACTCAGAGTTTTCTGACTTCCACAAATGGGTCTGAGAGATCCCGGAACATGGCATCAGGAAAAGGGCCTCTGGTCCACAGAGGGGAGGGCCCAGGTCCTGCTGGAGTCAACCTCGGAGGCAGAGGTTACCTGCAGCGCCTGCCCCTCCCCCCTCTACATTTGGTCATCCCTCCTGACGGCCCTAGGCTATTATTAGTATAGATTAGCCATCTGAATGGTTTCTTTAAAGAACTGCCAATTCTGGTCCTCTGCCCATTTTTAAAATTAAATTATTTAATTTTTGGTGTTGAGTTATGAGTTCTCTATGAATTTTGGATATTAACCCTTTGTCAGATGTAACATTGATGACTATGTTCTCTTGTTAAGTGGGCTGTCTTTTCATTTTGTTGATGGTTTCCTTTGTTGTGCAAAAACTGTTTAGTTTGATGTAGTCCCATTTGTATATTTTTTTTCTTATTTTTCCCTTGCCCAAGGAAATATATCAGGACAAATATAGTTATGAGAAATGTCCACCAAGGAAAACAATGGTGGCCAAATAGACAGACCTTTCTTGTACCTCCTCCCAGGTCCAGACTGGAAATAAAACTGAAAGGGCGAGGGCTCTCCATCTTGCCCCAAATCCTCCATGTTGGGGCAGCAGCCATGTGCTCGGCAAGGCTTCTTCCCGGAAGCCCAAGCCTCTGCTAGCCACACCCAGGATTTCTCTAACCAATGACAATCAAGGGACGTGCGCACCATAGATATGACCACATCCTGTGTAACGAGACTTGTGCCTGGTCAATCGGCAGGGCTCACAGTCCCCTCTCCTCCCCTTACTCCACCCCCCTATAAAACTCCTCTTCCCACCAGGCTAGCTCTCTCTCTGCCACTTGCTGCTGTGTCAGTAAGGAGGGTAGGGGAGCCAAGCCCGGGTTTGAATAAAAGACTCTCTGCTTTTGCATCGGACTCGGCTGGCTCCCTGTTGGTCTATTGGGGATCTTGAAATTTGGGCATAACATTTGGGGGCTCGCCCGGGGTTCCCAAGACTATCGAGGGACCCCCGATCTGGAGAGTCTGACTGACCGCGGTAGGTGTCTGTGTCGTTGTGTGTTCTGTTCTGTGCGAGCTCGTTTCTGAAATCTGTAAGTGCCCGAAGCGGTCTAGGTGGACGCACTGCGAAGGACCACGGGCGGGGGAGAGTTGGAAGACGTTCCGCTCCGCAGGAGGGATGCGTATTCCCCTCACGAGGGATGTGGTTTCCCCTCACGGATTTGAGACGAGGCAGGTCACTCCCGCCGGTTTGGCATAAGGCCATCGTCTAGTTGCTTCCATGGAGTTGGAAGGCTGTATTTTCAGGCCCTTTTAGTTTTCTGTGTATGTTTTTTCTATGGACTTACTGGACGGACATTATAGGATAGACTCAAACTACTCCTTTAAGTATTACGATTGATCATTTCAAGGAGATTGAGGGAGGCTTTAGAGCTCCCTCAGGAGTTGGGAAGTTGTTAGGAATTGAATGGATTGTTTAAACTCTGAATGAATGTCTGGTGAAAGTATGCGAGTGTGGAGGGAGGGGGCCTGCCCTCTCCCCTCCTTTGTGTGGCTCCACGACTTAGGTCAGGTGGGCATCTGAGTAAGGATCTGTGAAAACAGGTCACCCCCTCCCCAAATAAATGCGTCTGGGATTTCTGTGCACATGTAGAGAGAAAAGCTGGCTTAAAACTAATGCGCGCACTGTCCGATTTTGGATAGAGTTTTGAGCTGGAATCTCTTTGCAGATGTGCAGGGTGGAGCCCAAGACTGATCGTTTACGCCACCCCCCCCCCAAAAAAAAAAAGATGCTAGCTAGATTCCAGCAGAAGAATTGGCATTTCCATAATAAAGAACAGCTTTTAAATGCTAACTGAAGGGTGTTAAGGCTGGCTTCCCAAGGAAGAATGTGGTCAATTTACATCTGAAAAGACCAGGTAGGCCAGAACTTGTTTTACAAGGCTCAAATGTGGTTTTCCAGAGCCGCTTGAAAGTAAAAAGTAAAGTTTACTCTAATTTGCCTCATGAAAAATCTAAAGAACAGAATTAAATCTATTGGTTGAATATTGAGAAATGCTGAATATTTAACTTGCCAGCTAAAAGTTTAAGGTTCGGATTGAATTGGGAAAAATTATGTAATTGTAATAACTAAATGCCTTTGCTTATTGGTCTGATTGAGAAGGGAGGATTGATTTTGTGACCTCAACTGAAGATTTTTGCTTTAAAATGATTATAAAAGGTATAAACAGCTAATAAGATTTCTGTTTGTCTACAATGCAGCCACATGACTTGCTGCTCCCCTGGGGGCTTCCATCTTGAAACAGCAAAGGCCCCTCCCTCTGATTTAGTCAGGGGTGGAGCTTTAAGGCAGAGTTTTGCTGCAGAAATGTGAATGGGGCAGGAAGGGTGCTTGCCTCGAGGATTTATTTTTAAGTTAATCTCTTAAATCTAGAAAACCCTGCTTTCCTTAAACTAAGGACAATTAAAGGTTATGTCAAAGTCTTTAAAAGGGACTGATAGCAGTAATCCAATTTCTGAAGTAAAGTATGATTATTTCAGGTAGAAGCTGGTTTCATACTGGTCTTAGAGGGCACATTTTTCCTTTGCCGGGGAGGGACAGCGCAGCTGTCCCAGGGTCGGAGGGCTCCAGTTCAGTGTTCTGGAGACCCAGGATAATGTGTTTACCCAAAGCTGTGGTTTAGATTGCATACTGTAAATTGATCTGTCCTTATTGCTTAAATATGTATCTTTGTTGTTTAAAATTGCTTAACTAGTGAAATTTCTGTGTCTCTTAAAAATTTTGAATGTATTGCTAATCTGAGGAATGTTAATTATTTACGTCACCTAAAAATTAAGGCTAAGAGTTCTAACTAACTGGAAAGCATGGCTTTGGTGTGATGGGAGGAAAGGGAAATGTTGAATGGATGGTAGGCCGGTGAGCTGGGACTGGACACTGGTGGTGGATTGTGAGAAGGGCTGGACGCAGCCTAACTTCTCCTTCCTTGGTACCCCTGAAACGTCAGAGGGTACTTCTGGTCTTGGTTTTCTTGATTTTTCGTTTTGGATTTGTTTGTTTGTGATGAGTACCATTTCTATCTGGATGAGACATAGGTCAAGAATCCTGTCCTGGGATGTGGGAAAGGAAGGCCCCCACATCTGTTCCTGTCAGGTCCCCATCAGGGGACTTAGGCGGTGTTCCTGTTATCTGCTCAAGATCCCAAGACTGTAAAAGTACTTGTTCACTGAAAGGGTGTAAATGTAAATGTTTATTTGATGTTTGTATGTCTGCTTGGGTATAATTATTTATTCATGTAAGTGTGGAAGTCTGCGGAAAAAAAAACAAAACAAAACACGCTTGATTTCTTTGAGGCTGAGTGCTCTGACCGATAGCAAAGCTCCCTGAGCGGCCGCTGGGATCTTTCCCCAAGGGCGCTTGCTCTCTGTCAGAGGTGGAATTGGCCCGCCTAACTAGTAAACATCTCTGTCTGTTTGTTTGCTGGGAACTTTGATTTGCTATGTGATATTCTGTGCTGGCTTGGGATTTTGGAATTCTGGGGTAGATTTAAAAGGTATTTGTGGCTTTTCTAGTCTGATTGGGACATTTAAGGGTGGGGCTCACAGTTCCTCAGGGCAGAGATTTCATGGGCCCTTCCCCCTGCCTGTGAATTAAATAATACAGGCCAGTGTCATTTGGCTTGCTGGTTAAAGGTAGACAGTGGGCCTTAGAATCTGTAAAGGTGGGCGAGAATGAAGATGATCAAATGTACTGAAAGGGTTTGGTACCTGTTGCTGCTAGCAAAGGAGGGGCTAATATCCCCTTCTAGCGCACTCCCTTGAAAGAGGCCTGGTTGCTGCTCTGCCACAAAGGGAACTGGTAGAAAGGTAAGAAAGCAGAGCACTGTAACTAATAAACAGGGTTACCTAGAAGCCATCAGGACTTTGAAGTTCTCCAAGAGAGGAGGAATCTGACTCAGAGACTGGCCGAAACCTCGTTGGGTTGGGAGAACCAGAGGCTATGATAGGGTCCGACAACGGAACAGCCTTTATTTCACAAGTAACGCAGGTAGTAACTAGGGCTATTGGGGCAAATTGGAAATTACATTGTGCTTATAGACCCCAAAGTTCAGGGCAGGTAGAAAGGAACCATGGAAACTGGTGGGGACTGGGCGGCTCTCCTATCATGTTTGGCAGGCCACCCCCTATCATTCCTAACCTTAAAGCTGACTTTCTTGCTGCAAGAACTATCTCTTTCCTTGAGAGGGCTCCAGAGGGCACACGAGGACATTTGGCCGCGCCTCCGCGCCATCTACGAGACCTGCCCAACCCCAACTCCTCATCAGCACAGACCAGGAGATTGGGTCTACGTCAGAAGGCACCGCTGGGAGACCCTCGAGCCACGTTGGAAGGGTCCCTACACTGTGGTGCTGACGACCCCCACCGCTCTCAAGGTAGACGGCGTCGCGACCTGGGTCCATCACACTCACGTCCGGTCAGCGGACCCATCCGAGATCCGGGAAGACTTCATCACCAAATGGAGCGTCGATCGAGATCAGCACAACCCGGTCAAGCTCAAGCTAGGGAGTGCTCGACCTGCCTGATGCTGGTAACATTGCTCGTGATCACTCCTGCTACTGGGAGCCCCCACAATACCGTATAATAGACTTAGATGATGCCTGCATCTTCATGGACATGGCTCCAAAGAGACAAAGACAATGTATAGGAAGGTCAAGAATAGACTTTAGTATCACATGTTTAGTAGCAGAAGATTTGGCTGCCTGAAGCGGCCATGATGCCAATATTATGTTTCATTGTATTGATATGTTATATTGACCTTTGATTCTCTTGCAGGTTTGAATGTATGTTGGTTATCCTCAAAGGGGACTGTGTGGGGTGAACCCCAAAAGTAAAGGGTGTCTAGCTGCCAAGAGGGCAGGTGCCCAACTGGGCAGGGAAGGGTGCCCATCAGGTTTTGGTCTCTGTTGAAAGAAAAGAAATTGGCAAGGAAAGTCAGAAAATCTTAGAGCAGATCAGTATGTTTTTCTCCTTATGTAATTCCTCCGAAATTTGGCAATGCTAAATAAGTCATGGCAATACATTTCTTTGCATATATTCAACAAGACTGGTTCCTAATAATGGTTTTATTAACAGAAAACTTTGACTGGAGTATCATGTTTTAAAGAGCCCTGTCTGAGCTCTAAAGACTTAAAGCCAGTAAGAATGCCACGAAAAAAGCCTGGTATCCTGCTTGGAAGCCCTGAAGATGGCTGGCACTGGAGCATCAGGCCCATGCCCTACCATCACTGGCGGTTGGTAAGAGTAGAAGGGGAGCAGTAAAGATGCCTCTGCATCCCTGCAGAACCCCCACACACTCTGGGCCGCAACGGGTAGGAGGGCTACTGAGATGGGCCTTAAAGCCTGGAGCGTGGGCTCAGGTGGAGTTACTACAGGTGAGAGATTCACCTAACTCAGCAGATACTGCAGGCAGGCCTGAAGGCAGCTGGATGGCTTGGCTTCCTGGCCCTATGGGGCACATTAAGATTCAACCATGAGATTCCAGCGAAGGTGGTCAGTTACCATTCTTGTTGTGTTTATGCAAACATCAGGCCATATTGAATACAGTAGATAAATTAGTCTTGATTTGGCTTTTTGATAGCCATGGAGGAATTTTAAGAAGAAAAATCCTATTTCAATAGACAGTTGATAGTTCTGTGTGCCCAGTACGGGCCTCTGGCAACGGTGAAATAGAAATGCAGTCCGTCTCATGATTGAGCCGGAAGTTCCAAGACAAAGGGGGGAATGAAAGGGCGAGGGCTACGCCCTCCATCTTGCCCCAAATCCTCCATGTTGGGGTAGCAGCCATGTGCTCGGCAAGTCTTCTTCCCGGAAGCCCAAGCCTCTGCTAGCCACACCCAGGATTTCTCTAAACTAACCAATGACAATCAAGGGACGTGTGCGCCATAGATATGACCACATCCTGTGTAACAAGACTTGCGCCTGGACAATCGGCAGGGCCCACAGTCCCCTCTCCTCCCCTTACTCCACCCCCCTATAAAACTCCTCTTCCCACCGGGCTAGCTCTCTCTCTGCCACTTGCTGCTGTGTCAGTAAGGAGGGTAGGGGAGCCAAGCCCGGGTTTGAATAAAAGACTCTCTGCTTTTGCATCGGACTCGGCTGGCTCCCTGTTGGTCTATTGGGGATCTGGGCATAACAAAAACTAAAATGGGGAACATATACACCCAGGATTACCAACTGAGGTCCAGCTGAGACTTATATCAAGGAAGAACAGGAAACACCTGGAGATTGGAAGCAAGGGCAAGGTCACAAAAGGGGCTGACCCAGCGCTCATGGGTAGCAGGCCAAGCGTGAGGAGGGATCTCTCGGCTACAGGAGGGTCTTTTCCCTCAGAAGACCGAGGCCTGGAACGCAGGCGAGGCTGCACAGCCCGGGGCACCAGAGCCAACACCAGCGGCCCACATAACATCCAGCCCTGAAAGGCAGCAGGGCTGCTGTTTGTCCGGGAGACCAGAGCTGCTCCGAGAGAAAGCCTCTGTTTCTATTTTTATGTGTTTTCTTTTGTTTTGTTTTGAACCCAGAGCACAGGAATTTTATTTGCAGTTACTTACCTGAGGCTTTGGTTGAGGGAGGGCAGTGTGGACTCTAAGGAGAGGCTGGGGTGGGAAGCACTGGGGGGAGACATGGAAAAGCAGTACCTGGGAGTCCTGCATTTGGTCATATTCCCCCCAAACCAAAATGGCTATTTTTTTCCTGAGAGGAACAAGCCACTCACAGAAGGCACAGCCCAGAAAAAGGAAATAAACCCACCCTGGAGATACGACCTGCCCCACCCTCAGAAGTCCTGCCTGCAATACACTCTATCTTGACCTTAGCAGAGGAGATAGCAGTAGAGGCCATGCCTGTGGGGTTCAACAGTCTTAGCATCAGTGACTGGATTGGGGGTGGGACTGTTCCGGAACCTGACTGGTGCTTCCCCAGCAAGGGAGAGTTGATAGAAACTCCAGGTTTCCAGCTGATCCCACTGGATTACATACGAGGATCTCTGCCCAGCCAAGGGCAGTCATAATCTGGGCCACTCACAGAGGAGTAACTCTGGACAGGGAAACTCACCCACCACTCTCCCTGAAATCTGAACAGCACCTCTCCTTCCAGGGGTCTAGACTCCTGATTCTGCCTAAAGCCCTTTCAGAAACCAGCTTTTCAGTGATTAAGCTTGACAGCTGGCAGGCAAAGGCAGGCTGAGGTGGAGCCCAGGGATCCTGGGGAAGTTTACTGACCCAGCCTTGTGCCCCATGCTGCTAACCTGCTTTAGAGAGCAACTTGGCCACTTCTGTGCACAGCCAAGTCCCGTGGAGACAGACACAAACCGTGGATCTCATGGAGCTTCAAGCAGGTTGCTGAAAGCCAAAGGAGGACAGTTTCTGACAGTGGTTAGCACCTAAGTACCTCCTGGGAAACCCAAAACAGTCTCTGCAGTTATCAGAAGAGCATGATCCAAAGGAGCTCTCAGGAGGCACTAAACTCTGCTGAGGTGAACACCGCACCACTTTTTTTCTCTTTTTTCTTTTTTTAAAATATTTTTTTATTGATTTCAGATAAAAAGGGAGAGGGAGATAGGAACATCAATGATGAGAGAGAATCCTGGATTGGCTGCCTCCTGCATGCCTGTACTGGGGATTGAATCTGCAACCCAGTCACATGCCCTTGACCAGAATCGAACTTGGGACCCTTCAGTCCGCAGGCCAACTCTCTATCCACTGAGTCAAACCAGCTAGGGCTCTCTTTTCTTTTTTATCTTCTTTATTTGCTTTATTGCCTTGTTATTAATTTAATCTCTATTGTTTCACTCATATATCTAACTTTTCCCTTTTCCTACTCAATTTTTTCCCCTTTTTTCTTTTTCTCCTACTTTCTCATATTTTTTTCTTTTCTTATTTTGCGTCTACTTTCTCTTCCGTTTTCCTTTTCAAAATTTTGTTTCTTTTTTATTTTATACCATTTTCCTTCCCCTATTCTTTATTCTTATTTTCTTTATTTCATGTCTGCCCCTTCATATTCCTTTTTCTTCCCCCCTTTTTGTTTTGTTTTCTCGTATTTTTTCTTTCCTTCTATTACTCTTACTTTCTGTTCTCTTTCATAATTCTCTCTTCTCTGATGGTGGCTTTTGTTGTTATTGTAGGTGTCTTGTGTATGTTTTTTGTTTTGTTTCTTGTTTTGTTGTATTTTTTCTGTTCTGTCAGCACCTTCATAACTGCTTGCATGATGTGGGCAGGAGTGAGCCTTATAGTCAGCCTGCCTGAGAGGAGGTTCCATCCAAGAATGTGACAACATCATTCAAGACCCAGTTTCAACAGGAGAACCCAAATAACACAAGTGGCATTCCTAGAGCACCCAGCTCAGGAGATCTAAGAGACTGCACAACTGGGTCCCACAAAACACCTACTACCCATAAAACACCTACTACTCCCAGACCACTCTATAAAGTCTGGAGGCATAGCAGTTTGATCTAATACATAAAAACAAATACAAAGGGACAGTAAAAATAGGGAGACAAGAAAACAACCCCCAAATGAAAGAAAAGGAGGAATTGCCATAAAAGGAACTAAATGAAATGGAGGCAAGCAATTTTTCAGATAAGAATTCAAAGTAATGGTTATAAGGGTGCTCAAGCAACTTAGTGAGAACTACAAGCAGCTTAATGAGAACATTATGGAACTTAATTCAAACTACAGCAGCATAAAAAAAGGGATAGCAACCATCAATAACAATCAAGCATATCTGAAAAATGACATAGCTGTTGCTTCCTAGAAGGGATAAACAGTAGACTAATAGAAGCAGAGGACCGAATCAGCAAATTAGAAGACAAGGTAGAAAAAAATACTCATTCAGAGTGGCATTTAGAAAAAAAATTAAAAAGCAGGAGGAGAGTCTAAGGGAGCTTTGGGACAACATGAAATGTAAAAACAATCACATCCTAGAGGTACCAGAAGAAGAATCTGAGCAAGGAATGGAGAACCTGTTTGAAGAATTAATGGCAGAAAATTTCCCTAACCTGGTGAATGAAAAAGTCACTCCACTTCAGGAAACACGGAGTCCCAATCAAGATGAACCTCAAAAGAGCCACACCTAGACACATCATAATTAAAATGGAAAATATTAAAGACAAAGAAAGAACCTTAAAGGCTGCAAGAGAGAGACAGAAAGTTATGTAGAAGGGAACTTCCATTAGTCTATCAGCTGATTTCTCAATAGAAACACTTCAGGCCAAAAGGGATTGGCATGAAGTATACAAAGTAATGAAACTGTATCCAAGACTACTCTAGCATGAAGGCTATCATTCAAAATTGAAGATGA